GGGGGGGGGGGGGAGCACTATTCAACCCACTACACTCACTAGTCTATACTTATTTTCAATCCCTATTTTCCTTTCCAGAATTGAGTGAAATGCTTCTTTTAATTTGCTGTCCACTAGAGTCTCAGACAACCTTGGGTTTGCATCTCCCTCTCTTACTGACTTGCTGTGTGATCTTGAGTATGTTGCTGCATGTCTCTGAGCTTCATTCATTCAACAAGTTGAACTGATTGCCAGGCACTGTCCTAGATGCTAACAAATGTCCCTGCTTTTGTGGGGCTTACCTCTGAGGATCTGATGGGATGATGGGGCAACAAGAAGAATGAACTCCTGCCCCCATCCTGCCTGAACCTCCACCTTGGGCTCCCTCAATCCATACCAACAACCCATCCATTGGGCATATCCCAGGAAGCCCTCACTCCCTTCCCCTGACCACCATCACTGACCTTCGCTGGCCGCGCGGGCCTGGATCCCGTGGCTGATCCTGGGGCTGAGCCAACAGCCCCAACATTACACAGCTTCGAGTCTCGGCCCACCGCGGTGGCCGGCCTTGTTCACAGGACAGGCCAACATGCCGGGTTTTGCCAGGTCCAGAGCTGGGGGTGGATTTGCCCCGCCCAGGGGCTGATGTCATAAAGAGCCTGGTCTCAGCTCTGCAGGGGAACCTGCCCACGCCTGGCCCCACAGTGGCAGTGTCCCTCCCCTCCCCCCACCCCTTTCAGTGGAGGTGTCCTCCTGCCCCTGAAAGCTGGTACTATGAAAAGGTAAACTCGCTGGGCAGAGCCACGCCCAGAGCCAGCAGAGTCCAGCAAGACCCCTGCTGAGGGACCCACACCAGCCGCTGCCTCCTCCACGCCCACCCTAATCACCAGGGCCCCGGGCCCCCGTGCCCGCTTCACCTTCTCTCCCACCTCTGCCTCCCCCCGCCCTCAGCATGGCTAACTATTACGAAGTGCTGGGGGTACAGTCCAGTGCCTCCCAGGAGGACATCAAGAAGGCCTACCGAAAGCTGGCCTTGCGCTGGCACCCTGACAAAAACCCTGACAACAAGGAGGAGGCCGAGAAGAAGTTCAAGCAGGTGTCCGAGGCCTACGAGGTCCTGTCCGACTCCAAGAAGCGCTCTGTGTACGACCGGGCGGGCTGCGACTGCTGGGGGGCCGGCGGCGGGGCCAGCACCCCCTACAACAGCCCCTTCGACACGGGCTACACCTTCCGGAACCCCGAGGACATCTTCCGTGAGTTTTTCGGTGGCCTGGACCCTTTCTCCTTTGACTTCTGGGTCACCCCCTTCAATAGCGACCGCGCGGGCCAGGGCCACGGCCTGAGGGGCGCCTTCTCCACCGGCTTCGGCGAGTTCCCCGCCTTCATGGAGGCCTTCTCGGCTCTGGACACGCTGGGCCGCGGGGGCACCGCCAGCCGCACCACCTTCTCCTCCACCTCCTTTGGGGGCTCCGGCTCCGGCAGCTCAGGCTTCAAGTCAGTGATGTCGTCCACCGAGATGGTTAATGGACACAGGGTCACCACCAAGCGCATCGTGGAGAACGGGCAGGAGCGCGTGGAGGTGGAAGAAGATGGGCAGCTCAAGTCGCTGACCATCAACGGCAAGGAGCAGCTGAAGCGGGTGGACAACAAGTAACCGCGGCCCCCGGGCCCTGCACCTGCCGCCTGCCGCCCGCAGGCTGCTGGTTAATAAACGTTCAAGTGAGTTCATGCAAACAGCTAGCCCGGCTTTGGGGGTGGCGGGCGTCTCAGTGGACCTGTGCGCCCCACTCCGGGGCAAGCGGATGTGCAGAGGGGCCTGTGCCTGGGGGCCTGGGGGCACCACCTCCCAAATCCGGGCTTTCGGGGGCGGGGAGGGGGGGAGGAGGCAGGGCTGGTTCTGCAGGTGATTTATGATCTCTCATCTGTATCGCCTCGGTTGATAAATGCCATGAACATCGATCCATCTCAACCCAACCCTGTGCCTCCACAGCCACTGTTAATGCCAGTGTGGCCACATGACCCTCACTGGGCTTTGGCCCCGACTTCCAGAGCTGCTCCTCACAGTGATTCTTCATGGGTTGCTGTTGTGCCGAAGTGCACATGCACCATGTTACCTACCTTGCTTTAACCCTGCAGTGGCACCCTTTGCTTTAAGCATACAGACCTCAGCCCCATCCTCATCATGAGGCCCCGGTGACCTGGCCCTGCCCACCTTCCTGGTCTCACCTGCCACCAACCCTCATTCTCTGAGCTGCACCCATGCTGGCCTTCCCTCTGCTCCTTCATTGCGCCAAATGCCCGAGAGCCTCGGGGCCTTCACACATGCTGCTCTCCAAGTGAACGTCCACTCATCCTCAGGCCTTTGCTCCAACATTGCTTCTTCGAGGAGTCCTTCCCTGACACCTTTATTCTGAATGAGCGCCCCACCTGCCTGCTCTACTTTCTCACAGCCCCTCACCTGTTTTCCCATGGCCCTTATGTATTCATCTGTGTGACTATTTGAAAAATGTGTGCATCTCAACCACTCTGAGGTACAGGGGAGCAGGGCCTGCACCTGCCTTGCCCCTCACTGTGTGTCCCCAGTGTCTAGAGCAATGCCTGGCACCAAGGGGCCGTGCACATGTGTGTTGGAAGAATAAATGTTTCTGGGTGTTGTGGTGGGGATGTGGTGTGTGTGAGCATAGTGTGTGTGCAAGTGTGTGTGATGTGGTATGTAGGGGGGTGGTATGTTTGATGTGGTGTGGTTCACGGGTACACGGGCTGCTATGGACACACAGGAGAACCCCTGGCAGGCATTCTGAGGACTACGATCCTCATATGATTTCCCAAATGATGCCCATGTGACCCTATGTGGGCAGGGGACTGTGTCATGTTTGGGCACTATGCATACATTTCTGTCTGTGTATGTGGAGCATGGAGAAGTGGAGGACGGTTCGATTACAGTCTGCAGCCCCCAGGAAACCATAAACTCCTCAAAAGCAGGAACACTGTTTCACTCATTGCTGACCCCAGCACCTAGCTCAGGGTGTTGTATGCAGGTGTCTGTGTGGCATGTTTGTATACATTTGTCTATGAGCCTGGGTGAGATCTTTACACCTGGGCCACAGGCTCTGTCCTCAGAACTGTATCTTCAATATTGGCACCAAAGCTTTGAAGGAGCCACAAAAGGCACAGACCTCATATTCTCTGACACATTCAGCTGGGAGGGGAGCAGATCCAAGAGCTGTTGCCCAATTAGAAATAAGAAGATGCCCAACCCTGAAAACTAGAGTAAATAATTCTGCTTTAAACAGAAGAAGGAAGTTAGGCTGGGGAGACCTGGCTGGGTCAGCAGTGGGTGGGCCCCAAGCTTTGTGTGACTAGAAGGTGTTAATGAAAAAGTACCTGGGAAGTCTCATGTGACCTCAGGGAAGGGAGGGCTCTTCTGTTCCGAGCTTCTGATCCCACATTTGCATTCAGCTACAGGCCCTGCCCTGGTAGAGGGGCATGGGCAGCCTGGGGTAGGTCCAGAGGTGGTGGCTAGGGTAGGGAGAAGGTTGGAGACTCCATCCTGGGAGGAGCTAGGGAGACTCAGCATGGAGAAGGCAGCCTCGTGGACTCCAGTTGCTGTCCCCAAGTCTCTGCAGGGCTATTTCACTCCAAGAGATCAGATGGGCCTGAGGCTCAGAAATCAGACCTAGGATCTGCTAGAAGGGGTGGGCGTCACTAGGAGTATGTCCTGTGGAAGCAGAGCTTTCTCCGAGTCAGCGAGGCAGACTCCCTGAGGGGGAACAAACTTCCTGTCATGGGAGGGGTGCTGGTGCTGCAGAAGGGGAAACTGTGTTCTGATGACCTGTGGGTCTACTGAGTGACAATCTTTTAGAACACCCATGGTAGGGGTGCTGAAAACCCAGAAGTGGGCCTAGGTGCTGGTTCTCCCAAGGGAACTTGTTAAAAGCTTCTTCTAGGAAGCCAAGGGCCATCACCACAAAATCTTTTGGGTTGCAAAGCCACTCCAGTGCTGCTAGTGCCTTGCCCAGGAGGACACAGTAGGTTGACCTGGATGCTCAGCTGCACCTTCAGCTTTAGCCCAGGCTCTGGCTGGGTCCCACCTCCAGGAGCCCCTGGGACAGGCTGGCAGCTGGAGGTCCCCTAACCACATTACTCAAGAGGCAGGAGAGCCCTGAGATGCACAGAAGGCCGAACCCCAGCTCCAGTCCTGCAGGGACTAACTTCATCAAAATCCCTACTACAGCATTAACCACCTGACCTCTGCCCCTGCCGACCTGCTAATTTCACCAATTACTGGCCAGCCGAGGTTGTATCAAGTGGACCTGCTTAGCTCTGACAGCTGCTGGGAAAATCCAGTTACAGTTCAGCAGCCCAGGTGGTTGCATGTTCCTGGGGTTGTGTGCATAGCAGAGATCTGGGTGCTTGTAAGGCACTGGTGTTCCTGAGAACTCCAAGGACCTCGGGGCCAGGGCTCAGTGTCTGCGCTGCCTTCCTTTCACCAAGCCTCCCACCTGAAGCTGGGGCCTCCCCTATCCAGGGCATTCCCCGGCTCTGACTTGTCCGGTAGCTACCGAGCATGGCAGCTGATGTACCTGACTAAGCATCCGACATGTCCCTAACCATCTCGCTAAATCCTTGTCTCAGCACTTATCCCCATGTGACATATGGAGAAACTGTCGGACAAGCTGAGGGCAACTAGAGCTGTACGCCCAAGATAAAGCCCAACTCCCTAAACTGGCATTCAAGGCCCCTGCTGCCTTTCCAGGCACTGCCTGCTCTAGACCCTCTCAGCGACCACATCTTGTGCATGCTGTTCCCTTCATCTGGGCCAGCCTTCTCATCTCTTCTGGCCTGCTAAATTTATTTTTGGAGGCCTTGCTCCATATCACCTCCCTGGGAAGACCTTGCCCAGCTGCACCAGAGCAGGCCATTCTGGCCACGGGAACTTCACCGGGAGCCCCATCTGGGCCTGTGTTCAGGATCTGGGACTGCAGCAGTGAGGAAGCCTGGTGGCCCTCTGCAGAATCCCCACAACCCAGCAACCGCATCCTAGCTTGGGACCTGCTGGTCAGGTCCAGCATAGTCTAGCCTGCCATACGGGAAGGCCCCGAGGGTGTAGGTTACACCATGGCCCCTAGTTGGTCCAGCCCCAGCATAGATGCTGCCCCAGGTTGTCTCCTGGACATTGCACCAGCCTCCTACCTGACCTCCCTGCCTGCTCCCTCCCCTTCTTTCACCCTACTCTCATTTCAGCAGCCAAAAGGATCTTGTAAAAACCTAAGAGTTTTTGCAAGACAAACTAAAAGCCAAAGTCTTCACAGTAGCTCACAAGGCCCTGTGTCATCTGGCCCCCATGACCTCCCTGGCTCCCCCAGCCTCCCCAACCTCTCCACTGTCCTGCACACATACCTGGCACACTTCCACCTCTTCCAGGATCTTCACGCAGCCTCTCTCTCCTCTGCCTCCTTTCAGGTCTTTGCCCATCTTCTTACTGTCCCCTCACTCTCTGTTCCGCAGTCCCCTCCCCACATCCTTCTTGCCTCAAGAGTTTTGCACATACTGACCCCACTGCCTGAAACACCCCCGTCAGCCCCACCTAGCTAACTCCTACCAAGCTCATCTTGCCTCAGATGCCACTTCCCCAGGGAGGCCTCAGACCTGGGCAGGGTTCTACCTCCTCCACCCACCGCTCCCAGGTTCTCACACCCTGGCAGGGCTCCTGGATGTCTAAAGGGACCTGAATCCTGTGGAAAGGGAGTGATCTCCCCATCGATGGGTGGACAGGATGGCATATCTGTGTGTTCTTCTGGCACTAGGATTAAAGACACTTTTATAAGGGGGCATTTTATAAGGGAGGGCACCAAAATCCTGGAGAGGATGGGTGCACCTCGGCTCACAGAGCAGGTAGAGAGCCAGGTCTGCAACCTTTCTACTATGAGTGGCCTGAGTGAACATTCTGCTCCCTGAGACCTAGCCAGGCAGTGTTACCCCATAGTGAGGTTTTCCACCAGGGTCTGGTTTCTTTGTGAACTGGGGGTGGAGTGGCAAGGTTCTCAGCCCTACTGAGCACACATGAGGCCCTTTGCCTTCACACATTCCCAGAGACTTGCCCTGGCCCCCAAAAAGAAGGATGGCTATTTGCTCCCATTTTACAGATGGGGAAACTGAGGCTCAGAGGGTCAGAGACTTGATCAAGGTGATAGCCACATTGAAAGCTAGTTCTGCCATCCTCATACTTTCCCCTTGCATCCAGGGCCTGGGAGTGGGTGGGTGAGGTTCAGGCAGCCTCCTGCTTGCCCTCCCTCCCTCTGGCCCGTTGATGTTATGATGCTATCACAGCTGATTTAATTTCAAAGACGGATTGAGCTGTGGTGGGAGGGAGAGCAACTACTCGAAGCCATCTGCCCCGTTGTCATGGGGATGGGCTCCCAGCAATTGTGCAGGGGCTAGACCCAGATAAGGGCACAGAGTGGGCTGGAGGGGCCTGCATGGATGGGGTGGGGATGGGTGAGATGGTGAGGGAGCAGGGAGAGGCATGGAAGGAAGGAAAGACCCAGAAAGAGAGGCAGGGACACAGAGACACGAGGGCACAGAGATGAGGGCCCAGGGAGACAGCTCAAATGTGCCCAAATAAAGAGAGAAAGACACCCAGAGATAACTGTG